TTGTTGTTAATTTTAGGTCATATATGCTAGTGTACTCATGAATTGATGAAATGCACTTCTAAACTTTCTCCGGGAAACTACAATAAAAATATTAATGACTCATCCTCCACTAGACAGATTTTTGTCCAAACAGACGCTCTGTAGAATAGGAGAAGGAACTTTCTCAATAGTATCAGCCTCAGATGTTATGCCTACGGACCATTGGCTGAACGTCTGATGCATTTGGCACCCAAAATGATCAGGATCAACTAAATGCTGGATTTTCAAAAGTATGTGAAATATGTAACGTTCGTGGCATACACTCTTTAAAATACGTCAAGAGTTTTACACACTAGTCTGTTATTGTGAGGACATTTCCACGCCCCTAAATATGACACTGCACAAAACGAAACGTGATTGGTTGCTTTACCTGTCAGTCATATGGCCTCTTGGGCGGTCCTTGGCCATTCAAAGTCCTTCTGCCATCAGTCTTCTGCCATCAGTCTGAAGGTCTGGCTACGCGAGACTACTTTCTCAATATCACCTAATATCAATAGACTGAATTAGTCTCAACAATTACTACTACCCTGGAATAACATACTAGAATACCACTTTTACTTTTCTTAGACTATATATTGCAGAACTAGCAAGAACCAAAAAGAGTATATGAGTAAGAGTAATTAGAGTATATACTAATAAATAGTAAGAGTAACTAGTAGCTATATGAGTAAATAGAGTAACTATTCTTATACTGGATATGGTGGAAATAGTGAAAATATATGAGTAAGAGTAAATACTAAAGTATGTACTATTATACAGATCTATGTATACGAGTAAATAGTAAGAATATTTGATTCATAGAACATTTGAATTTGCAACAGCATACTATTCTTACTATTTCTGCTATTTCTTTATCTTTACATAAAGTAATAGTAGTATGACATTCCAAATTCAGCCATAGTGGTGATAAGCCCTTCCCAAACTTCCTGCGCTTGTAAAGTTATATCATGGGGGCTTTTAAACCTCAAAAAAGTTATGAAATTATGCACAGCTGTATGCTTGGTCAGGATGCTCAAGAGCCATTCTAGTCTTGTTTTTTTTGGCAAAATTCAGTTTCTTTATATAAATGTTTGTAATTACTCATGCTCTGTCAGTTCCATTATGCTGGAGTTTAATGTTTAATCTAAAACAGAATTTTGGCTTTAGGCACTTGTCGTGTGTGAGAGCATCAGTGTGTAGAAGCATTTGTGTGCGATGGCAAACAGGTCACGTACCGCTGTGGTCGAGAGCACGGGACCATGTGCATACATGTACATGCACATACAGTAGATGCTCACACACTCGCAAACAATCTATCATTGGTGGAGAAAGGAGACCCATCTGTTGTCTCTGTTGGTGGGAGTTAATCTCAGCATGGACAGCAGACGGAGGTTACATCATACGTTCGTCGTCCATATAGGGTGTGTGTGTGTGTCACAGATGAAAAAAATAAAGAAAAGGAGAGAGGAAAGGGATGATTGGGGGGGGGTATAGGAAAAATGCCAGTGTGTGAGATTTTTCGTACCACACAGCTTGCGAACCAATTATTCCTTTCTGCCCGATTTGTCACAATAAATGAACTATTTTTTTCCACTCTGGCCTTCAGACTGTGACTCACTTAAAGATCACTTCTTCCTCTTGCACCCACTTATAAGATCATGATAGAGCTGAGAGGGAATTTGAAATGTCATTGTCATTAAGTCATTTAGGTAATAGAGTTAAAAATGTTTTAAAGAATGACAGGACCCTGGGGCCTCATTTATAAAACCCATGTATGATCTGACTTGATCCTAAATTCCATGAACTTCATGTTACGGCAAAAGTGAGGAACAGTTAAGGATTTATAAAAGCAGAAACATATGTTCTTATGCGTATTCCAACTGAAAAGCATGAATACAAACTTTTTGTGCTCCTATGCCAGTAGTTGAGGTAACATTGATTTATAAAAAACTAAAGATAAATAGGCAATAAAAAATGTAGTGCTTTAATTCTAAGAAAATGTCATATAAATATCCTTCTGCATAAGGCAAAACAAAGGCATGCTTAGCCTTGTCTGCTTTTATACATACTCGTTCAAGCATTCTCTCACACTCAGCCTCACCCTCTTTCTCTCTTTTATTTGTTTTGTTTTTTTAACAGTCGGGACAGCAGCGCTCGATCACTCATTTGCAGTATGTTGCCTGGCCAGATCATGGGGTACCAGAAGATTCCTCAGACTTCCTGGATTTTGTCCAGTCAATGAGAAGTATGAGAGAGGAGTCGGTGCCTCTTATGGTCCACTGCAGGTGACAGGACTTCCAGCACACAGACACATAGATGTTATCAGGTGTTCATTTTACCAAGAGAATGTTTTTCTGCAGTGCTGGGATCGGGCGGACAGGTGTGTTGATCACCATGGAGACAGCCATGACACTGATGGAGAAGGAAAAGCCAGTATATCCCCTAGAGATCATTACCTTGATGAGAGAACAAAGGGCTATGCTGGTTCAGACATCGGTACAAACACACACATACTCACAAGTTAAAGGTGACATGTCATGTCGCACTACCAAACATTGTTTCCATGGACAAACTGATCATTTTGCCTTAAACTCATACAATTGGTTGAACCAATATTATTCTGTTTAACCCAGTTGGGCTGGTTAAAAAAAAAAAAAACACACATTGAAAATTCCATTTGATGTCACGCAGAAAATACATACTTCACCTTCAATTATGTATTCAGTTAGAACATATCTTCAGATCAAATACAACACAGCAGTGACCCTTTACACTTAGATCAAAGGAGTCACACACTCATTAAAAGAGTTGGCAAGAAGTTTTTTAACAAAACTTGGCTGTCAATGCAGTAGAAACTCAAAAACAAAATGTGAAAGGAGAAAAAGGGCTATGGCTTTTCCTTTTGCCAAAAACTTCAACACCCATAATGCACTTTTAATTTTGGCACTGCCCCTCTATCAATCTGACTGTCCATGGGCGGGGATACAAAAATGCGGAACTTCAATCTGTAGTTTTAACAAAAGCCCTGGAGCTGTCAAAAGTCCTGGTGACTCAAAACGAATTATTTTTTGCTAATGAACAGAGAAATCTTGGGGCAGGTCACATGGAGAAAGAGTACACATTGTTCAATTACATATACTATCGACATTACAGCAGTACAAAGCTGGATGAAAATCTGTGAATTTATACTTTAACCCTTTGATGCCTGAATTGTTAAAGGAGCATTAAAAAAATTTTTCAAAACAACAAAAATGTATTTGAGGGTGTTACACGTCTATCCATTCCAATATAAGAAGTTCTTGGTGCATCACCACTTTTGTCAGTTGAAAAATGAATTTCTATTGCCATAAATAATAAATGCTATGGCAGCATCTAAATATGCATACTTCCCTACTATATAGTATGCAAAAACAGAATGTGAAAATAAAACCGTAGGCAAAAAGTATCTGGATGACCTACTGTTTCTGGCAAGATTCTGAAATGCGCATCCAGTGGATACTTTACTATCCCATGAGGCCATGGGAGAGTGTAGCAAATGCCAGTGAAGCGATGCAGCTGATACTGTAGGTCACATGGCAGTGACAACATGACAGATGTAGTATATCTGGATTACATTCATGCTATATAGAACATATTTTTTTAACAGTCGTGAAGTACTTGTTCAGACTAGAGTATACAATTTTGGATGCAGCCAATGACATATAAAGAAGGTGGCCATTTAGAACTATGGGAAAGGGTCAAAGACTCAAAGGTGATGATAAGTCATGGTGATTTGGAGGTAACATCACACCCTGAATGGCTAAAATGGCTTTTGAAGATTTGTCCACTAGATCAAAAGGTTGAATATCTTCCATTGATTTTATTGGATGTGCTGTCATTACTTAAACTATGTGCATTATTGTCTTTCAGTGCCAGTTCACCTTTGTGTGTGAGGCCATTCTGAGGGTGTACAGAGAGAGAATGAAAAAGAGCTCAACACCTAACAGTTGAGAAGAAGAGAGGGACAGGAGGGGAGTGTTTGAAAACACACAAGTGAATGAAGAAGCTCCACTGCTGTGATCCGACTGTCGATAAAGACGGATGAAAAAGGGGCAGGGAGAAGAGGGTGTGTCTGGATAAAAATGGATAGACAATCTCTTCTCTTGCTGTGGCTCTCTGACAGCTGTGCGGATCAAGGAAGAACTTAAAGCACTGTGACACGTATAAGCTTATAGAGCCCTACAGCACACATACTCCCTTTTTCTCGGTCCCACACACACACCCCAAGTGCTATATTCAGGTGAATCTCACAAAATCTGTCAAGAAACGTTCAGGTCAAATTTCACCCTAAGATTAAGAGGAAAAGCATTCAACTCATATGGTGCATAAAATAAAAACGTAGATCTAAAAATCTACTTTTTTAGAATATTTAAGTTTCTCTCTTTTTTGGAATTAATACATTATTTTCAGAGCAGTTAAGCACATTTTACTCCCCAATTCCCATTACTACATTAATCCATCCGATAATGTCTTTTTTATTGTATGACAGTAATGTGTTTTGCAATTATTTACTTAAAATCAATCCATTTTAATTAAAGGCTGAACAACAAATGCTACCATGATTAATTAAGACTTTAAAAATGCTTATACCATTTTGGTTTTTCATGTTACACTAATAAAAACTAGACTTTGTAGTTTGTAATGAGAAATGGGGGGGGGGGGGGATAAAGTTAGCTTGAAATGTCTTGAAAACTGTGCCAAAAAATGGTCATAATTGTAAGCTTCTTTTTTTTTTTAAAAAAAACCTCAAATAAACTATTTTCTTTAAATATCCATTTTTTTCCTTTTGATTTTGAGGGTAAAGTGTGACGTGTACACTTTGTGAGATTGACCAAACCACTACTAGAATAATTAAATACACCTCTGTTAATAAATAAATAAAATGTGTAATTCTTATCACGTTGTGCCTCTTCTCTTATTCACGATGATGGCTTGTGGGAGCTCGAATGAGCGTGCGTGAAATGCTGACGATTGGGCGCATACCGTTTCCTGATAGCAGACTTGACGCACTTGCACCGCACAGTATGAAGGCTGCTTGATTAGTAGTCGTTGCTGGGGAATTCAGTGATGTTTGCTCGCGTGAAGGTAAGCTCACATTGATCAATGTTTGGCTTACCAGCAGGTAGCGCTGCCTCGCGCACACTGACCCGAAGAGGGGGAAAAAAAGTTTGAGTGTTGCTCTGAGATTTAACGCTTGCGCAGAACAGGTTGCCTGGCCAGTTCCTCTGGTTGATTTACCTGAGAGGTACATCAGTTTCGGTCAGTAACAGAAAGGAACTAACGCGCCGTCATTCAGCCGAGCCTGGACTCCGGCGAGCGCGAGAAGAAGTTCAATTAAAGCGCAAATACTTTTTATTCAGACGAAGAAATTGAAAGGACCGGAGTATATTCTCGTGGCTTCTGGCAGGTGCGCTCGTGTTTTCTAGCCCGTACGCCACGAGGAAACGGAGCTCGTGACAGGTCGCCGTATCCCGACTTGTTCCCGCTGCATTGAACGGCTCAGTCCGGTAAACGCCGCCTTTCTTCGTCGCGGAAAGCCTGAAAAAACAGCTGGATGCCTTCCTCTTGAGCAGTCCGGTATCGGTGCCGTTTTCCCTGGTTGATTAAAGCAAAAGATGATGGGCTTTCTGCGCAGGACGTTTAGCCGTCGGTCAAAACGACGCTTTCGGACGTCAGAGGAGCTGGACGGGACCGGCAGAGGCGGAAACGCAGTGCTTCAGGCGCACCAGCAGCAGGTGATTCACGCGCCGATCGTAGTGACCGGGGGAGCCGTAGTCCACATCCCCGCCGCGGGCAACAGCAAAGACGCCATCACATGCAGAGTCCTGCTGCTGGACGGATCGGATGTCAGTGTGGAGTTACCGGTGAGTGGAGGACTGTTCGTCTGAGAAAAGTCACCTTGATTGTTTTGAATGTAGTGTTTAACGGCAAAGTTGGGTTTTAACAGCCTGTCACTGGCCGAAATTCCCCGGTGTTGGGTCCTGTCCCGGTAGTTGAGAGGTAAACAGATGGAGCTCGTGCTCCCGTCCTCGTGTTTACAACCTGTCACACACAAACCTGCAGATTCCCTCGAGCACTGGGAGCTTTCACTGAAAATGAAACATCCAGGGAGAAAAACACACAAGGAGTTTCCCATTCTTCCTCTCCTTCCTATCAAAGTGTTTTCCAGAAATAAATTCCCATTTGTTCCTGAGGTCGACGAACCAGTTAAGCGCTTAACCTTTGGTCCCGCTCTTGCAAGTCGCGCCTTGAAATGTCGATCACTTTCTGACAGTTCATCTGTTTGTAGCTATCGTGCACTGCTGAATCTCTTTTTAACACGATGCCTTCTACTTGGAGCATAATTTTGTGAATTTGAGTTATATCCAAGTAATATTACGTTGAGAAACCGTTTTGAGGTTGTAGCCTTTATTTATTCTCAGCCAATGAAAGCAATAAAAAAAAAAAAAAAACATTAAGTTCTACCTGTCACCAAGCAACAGACAAAAAGCCTGTCTTGGGAATGTGGATCTTTCCTCGAATTTGTGTCTCCAAGTACAAAGAAATGTATTAATGTATTAATTTACAATATCTATATAATGATTAATAAAATAATTCCGTTGGACAATGTAATTTCCTTCCCTTAATAAATTGATAAATAATAAAGAAATAATGGAACATTGTCACATCGCCTTTTTAAGAACTGAATCATTTGGACATTTAACATGCATGTGTTAACGTGAATACATGTAGAATAAGCACATACTTGTAGTGTATAAGCTATCAGGTTACTTAGGGATCTATATGCTATGCTATTATGTTGGCTAACTAAAACCGACATCAATGCTCATCGTAATTGTAATCGAGTGATAAAGTTCTCAGTACAGTGTATGGAGAAGAGATGACAGGTTTTTAGACCAAAAACATTGGCTGCGTCTGAAATAACATACTCTCTGAATAGGTGCTTCTCTTGAATTTAAATACATACTTCGGGACCATTAAAAATGTACATTCTATTTTGTATAAATTGAACCCAAACGTTACCTCCAGTCTAACGAAAAAGCACTAGCCTCTGTGTTTTGTTTACTTGCGAAAAGTACATTTCTGGTTTTATTCTCCCATGTTTTTTATTTCCTCGCTGGTGAGAGAAACCCACTTTGAGTGATCATGAAGCAAAACAAAAAATACAGGTGCTCCTGCTGTCAAAAACCTGTTCTTCAGGCAAAATATGCTTCCACACCGCTCACATGATCTGGTCTAGAACGCCTGTATGAAAATGATACAAAAGTATGTCAAAGAATATTAGCAATCTTGGAACGTCACTGGGCCAATCAAGTTAGAAGACTAGAACTGTTATACAATTATGTTTAATTGTGAAGATTTCCTTCTTTTCAATATAAGCCCAGTAAACACCTGAAGCTTGTGGTGCATGTCATATTATTGTTTTATATTTCAAAGACATAGTTTTGCTGATTGTTGGTTTATATATATGGCTGTCATAGTCGGGCAATGTTGTGCTATACAAGTCTGAACATGTTGAAGAATTTATAAAAGGCCTTTCGTGTGTCAGTACTTCAGTGTAACAAATCATACATTTCTTTTGATTTGGCTACTTCCAATGTGATCTGAGTTCCAGCCATCTAACCTGATAATCAGTTTCAAAAACCATTCTTAATGCAGGACTATTTTTTATATATATAT